CATTGCAGCAATGGACGCAAAACGTGGTCAAAACTCACACACTCATCACGAAACGGTTGCTTTTCAAAGTCGACGACGCATCGACCGAAAGAACTGCTGATGAAGAACAATGAGGAGGACCACACAATGGTTGCTGCCGAGAAAACAGACGATCGCGTAGCACACATCGAGAGTGGCCTGCTTTTGTCGACAGCCGAGTGAACACTCAATACCAATAATAATAATAAAGTTAATTTTCATGGAATCTATTAGAGTGCCCTGAAGCTGACGAAACTTTCTCTTAAAGATCTTTTAACTTCCCCAAATTTGTAGCAATCAGAACTTCCAAGAAGGTTCCAACATTTTTTTCTGATGTTAATAGATCTACCGTATTAAATTCGGCCAACCGCGATTGATACATTCACAAGCTAAATCTATGTAATCTAGTAATCCAAAAACGCCTTATGCATTTTGGTGCGCAATGAGAGGAGCATATGGAGATTGATATTCCCATCATTTTTACGAATTGACCACTTTTACGGATGTTCCGATTTTCCCAGAGGACCGTTCCGCGACCACCAGTGTGCGCATGCTGGTGTCAGATTAAAATTCATTCATGTAGCATCACAGCAAGAAGATTTAAAAAAAATCGTTGTCCAATGGATATTTTTTACGAATTGACAACCTTTACGGATGTTTCAGATCTTCCAGAGGATCTGGGTATGTAGTGGGATCTCAACCTTAAATCTTCAGTCTTCATGTTTTTTTTTGTACACCAGCGCCGCTTTATCTTCATGGTTAGGTATATCAATATTATTAAAAAAACAATTACGAAACTTTGTGGAACTGGCGACATCACTCTGACGAGACAACGAAACCCTACACCAAAGCTCCTCCCCTTTTCCTGTCCTTCGACAATGTACCCCTCTAACCTCGAGTAAGCCGCGAGTATTCGGCCCAACTCCTACTAGACATAGAATTAAATGAATTTTGTTACAAACAAAGAACAATGAATTATCGGCTCCGTAAAGCTAACGCGATTGAGCCTTACAAATGAACGAACTACGATAAGTTTAGCAACTACGGGTGCGAAAGCCGAAACCATAAAGTTACAATCGTGATAGCAACGACCAGTGCGTAAACTAGTTGCTAACTAAAATAGCAACGGCTAAAGTTGTCAACAGAATCATTTTTGTGTCGAGTCAATTGGCGAATCAAAGCAAAGCCAAAACTGATCATGCAATACCTAGTTTTAAGATCCGCAGTTACAAAAATGATGATGTACTAAAAAAAATGACAAATATCAAAATGTATAAACCATTTTCACCCACTCGCCATCTGTGAGTCAATCGTCACTTTGATTCTTAAATTCTCAGCTTCAGTTTTACAGGTTGCGAATAGTCTCGAAATATCTCGCCCAATATAAATAAAATCAATATCAAGCATGATATGTTTTTCTAATATCACGCATGATATTGAGAGCGTATGAGAACGAAAAAAGATCATTTGATTGATGATTTTGCAGCACTGGTCAAACCGTAACATTTTTTTTAATTACAAAGCCATTGATCGACTGTCAAGTTTTCATCTCTGGATTTGTATGGCTGGTGAATTGAAGAATCAAAGTGACGATTTACACACAGATGGTATCTGTCAAATTGCATGATTTTTTTTAGTACATCATCATTTTTGTAGTTGCGGACCTGAAAATAAGGTGTCGCATGACCAGTTTTGGCTTTGCTTTGATTTGCCAAAAGGCCTTTTTAATGCACCACCAACGTAGAGTGCGCCATACGAGTTCATCGTTTGTTTACATCAGAATAAGGATTTTTACAACGCAAATTAAAGCATTTTTCATTGAACATCTTGCCAATTTCCATCGGTAATTGTCTAATAGTACGATTTTCCACAGATCTGAACTGATTTGCACCTAAACTATTCACACATAAGAAATCCGGAAGATCATAACCACTAAGGCACTATTCTTATTTTCCATTTTTCTCAGCAAAAATATTGCTGAACACCAGCATGATCCTTGTAAAAACGATACAGAATTAAATTTTTCTACTTCAGATTAAGTTTTGGAGTACCTCAGACGAATCAATTTATCAGGAAAAGTGAAAAAGTGTTCCGCTTCCTATGTCTCACGGCAGAAATTTCTGCTCACAACACTCTTTTTGGCGTTCTTCTATTCACCACCAGAAGTTGAATCGCTTAGTAACTATAAAAAAGGCGTATTGATTAATTTACGCAAAGGTAAAACTGGCCATGCGACACCTAGTTTTCAGATTGGAAATTAAAAAACTGATGATGTACTAACAAATATTCCTAACGATTTGACAGGTAACAAAACGTCATTATCATTTTTCACATCATTTCCATCTGCTGGTCGACCGTCACCGTACAGTGGCGCTGCGCTTGAGTGAAGGTGGAAACAACGCATAGAAAAATGAGCAAATACGCAAACCCTTTTTCTGAGGATGTAATCTTTGCTATCAAACTCGTTCGAAGCATTTACCTTTGAGCGGATGATGACGCGATTGTACCTGTCTCATAGCGTTCGTATTAAAAAATGGAAGAGTTGCCAGTCTTCTTGATGTGTTGTCTTTGCTTAAAGTAAACACAAAATTGCGGGTTGCCAAACCTTGCAGACATAATCACTTAGTTGCCCGTTCAAAACATAGTCTCTGCATATGAATAAAGAGCTACAGAAGCTTGGTAGACGCGATTCATGAATTTAAGTGACGGTCGTCCAGCAGATGTAAATGATGTGAAAAATGATAATGACGTTTTGCTACCTGTCAAATCGTATGAAATATTTTTTAGTACATCATCAGTTTTGTAATTGCTAATCTGAAAACTAGGTGTTGCAAAGCCAGTTTTACCTTTGCTTAAATTCATTAATACGGAGTCTACATATTATGAACCTATCAACTAGTTTTCTGTGAATATTATGACTATCTTAAAAATATATATATATTTGCAATCAATGCAGCTAACTGGGCTTGAATATTATTCTCACGCAATATTCGCTCCAGTGCAACGGGAAACATTTACACAGGCCCTGTAACGTAGATCAAGGCGTTTCCGGTGTAATTTTCAATGTAGTGAATTTTGTGAAAGACCTCAAAAATAAGATTTCATTCATACAGGCAAGGAAGCAAGAATCGGAGATTGCATAATTTTGTGCAACGCTCTGTAAAATATACTCTCCAACGTGGTATATTTGATTTCACCCAGAGTTTTTAAAAAATTGAGCCTTCAAATACTTCGAATACTTTTTTAATCTTATCGGTATTCAACGATACGATTAAAAACGTATTCGTTTTACCGTTAACCCTGAAGCAGACGACAGGTGCTCAAATTAACAAAATGGCGGGTTGCCAAACTTGCAGACAAAATCACTTCAAAACATTGTCTCTGCATAGGAATAAAGAGCTTAGTAGACGCGATTAGTAACCTAACCATCTGCGTTCAGAATTGAGTCACTACGTGGCGCTAGTGAGCAAAATAATATTGCTGTCATCCTGATTATAAATATTTCACCAATTTGTTTTTTTTTTATAATTACTTTATTTGTACAGGCTCAATCGAATAAACTTTACAGAGCCGAGTTATCCTTTGCGTTATACATTATTTCTGTCTTAAATTTAAAGTTAAAGGAACTGGACCGAGTACTCGCGGTTGTCTCGAGGTTAGTGGAGATTTACAATTTTTTGGATGGGAAAAGGGAAGAAGGAGGTTTGAAATGTGGTTTACGATACAACTATTTAATTAATCCTAAAGCATGAAATTATTTCTATTCATCTTGAAAACAAACATTGAAAAAAAAACCCACACGTACAAAACACAAACTAAACACAAGGTTAATCAAACTTACAATCTAAGGTTAATATCCTTAAAGTAAACATATATGAGTTTCATAAACTCCAGATCGCGTCTAGCCAAAATATCCCGAACTGGAACATTAGGTTGTCTACCTCGAGCCCGAAGGGAATCATAAAAATGTGATCTGACTCCACGATACTCCGCACAAGACCAAAGGATGTGATCAGCTTCCTGGTAACCTTGTCCACATTCACAGAGATTGCTGTCTTCCAACCCCACACGGAACAAGTGAGCGTTCAGACAATAGTGATTGGACATGAGACGAGACATCACGCGTATGAAGTCTCGACCCAAGTCCAACCCTTTGAACCATGCAGACTTCGACACCTTAGGGATAATTGAATGTAGCCATCGTCCCAAGCTCCCTTCACTCCATTGATGTTGCCAGCTAACGAGCGACTGCTGACGATAAATAGAGAAAAATTCACTATAGGCGATCTGTCGATCATAAATGTCGCCTTCCATAGCGCCCACCTTCGCAAGTGAATCCGCCTTCTCATTGCCCAAAATTGAGCAATGCGAAGGGACCCACGCGAAGGTGATGATGAAAGAGCGCACGGATAAAGTACTAAGCAGTTCTCGTATTTTCAAGAGAAAATACGAGAAGTGCTTTACCGGCCTAATGGAACGGATAGCCTCGACAGAACTGAGACTATCCGTAAAAATAAAGTAGTGGTCTGGAAGAAGTGAAGCAATAGTTTCCAAGGTGTAGTGAATTGCTGCCAGTTCAGCCACATACACAGAACAAGGAGCTTCAAGTTTTCGAGAGGCGCTATGAAATTCATTAAATACACCAAAACCAGCGGACTCCTCTATTAGAGATCCATCTGTGAAAAACGTTCTTGCAGAATCAACATGGCCAAACTTTGCAGCGTATAATGACGGAGCAATCATAGGACGATGATGCTCTGGAATTCCGCGGATTTCCTGCGTCATAGATAAATCAAAATTCACTGAATTGCCGAAATCGGAGAAGATTACACGATTGGGAATATTTCTTGAAGGGCTGACATCCTGTGTTAAATATAGGTAGTACAAAGTCATAAAACATGTTTGAGGATCACCAATTTGTATCAGATACCTAAATACTGCTCTTCTGTATAACTTATCCTTTTCCCATCTTTTCACTCCAGCGAGTACGACAGCAACGTCATCACCATCTGCAACGTGCGCGATCCGACGACGTCGATCGTGCTCTCCAAGCAGTACACCGACACGGTAGGCTCCCGATGGCGGCTGAATGTCTATCCGAAGGGCAACAACACCAACTGCCGCTATCTCAGCACGTACGTGGAGCTGTGCGATGGTATCGCTGGAAGGTAATAATCACCTTATTCTTACCTAACCCCAAAGTCTATGGACCATATCTATTTTCATGCGATCAGATATCAGTACATCGTGGAGCTGTTGCACAAGGATGCCCACCGGCAGGTCAAGTTCCAGTCGGAGGATCACTATCGGGTGGGGGAAATCCGAGGCTACCAGAAGTTTATCCGGGTGAAGCGAATCCTAGAGGAGGGCTACCTGAACGATGACGGATCGATCTACATCCGGCTGTCGATCAGACCGGCCACGTTGGCCCTGCGGTGTCAGTATCAGGAAGAGTACCAATCGCTCAAAGAGGAGAAGATCTTGTTCCAGTTCAACAGTCAACTGAGTCAACATTTGACCAAGATTAGGACCTTGCGAGAGGAGAACGTGGCGCTGCAGAGTATATCCTATCCGGAGTATAATTCGAATATCTTTGTGATGAAGAATTTCAACAGTTTACGACAGAAGAACGAAGACATCTGCTCGGACAATAGCTATGACGATTTGGGGTGTTGTTGGAGGTTGATCGTGTACGCCAATGGCGACAAGGACGGTCGGGATGAATGGTTGAGTGTGTATCTACGGTTACTGGAAGGAATTCCAGGAAGGTAAAGATTGAGCACTTTTTTTTAAACTGTCAGTTAACTCAATCCAACGTGATTTCAGCTATGAATACTGCGTTGAACTGCTGCACAACGACCCAGCCAAGACTGTCAAGATGGAGGGAACGCAGAAGTTTGAAATTCAGGAACGATTCGGATGGTCGAACTTTGCCCGTCTGGATATGGTCTGTGCCAACGGGTTCGTCAACGAGGAACACGACTCCCTGTACTTTCGATTCTCGCTGAGGCCTCCCAACTACAAAGCAAAATGCGAATACCAGCAGTTGCTTCGGGTGGATGCAAAGCGGGAGAATGAAACGCTCAAACGGTACGCTCGATCTCTTCCTGCAATTGATTGTTAATCTTTGTTGTAGCTAAAACGCGATTCGATTCCAATAGGGAGCTGATTCCGGCCTACAGCACGATCACCTACACGTTGAAAAACTTTTCCGAACTGCAGCAGAAGGATGATTTCGTCTACTCCGACCCGCTGATCGATGACTTGGGTTTCACGTGGCGGCTGCTGATCTACACCAACGGACACAACGAGGGACGGGGATGCAATCTGAGCGTGTTTCTGATACTCTTTGAGGGCGTCTCCGGAAGGTGAGTTTGGAGAATTAAAGAATGGGATTATTTTATGAAGACAGTGGTGAGGGTTTTTAAAAGAATGCAGTTTTCAAAGCAATTCATGACCAGCGAATCCAAACACATAAAGCAACCAACGATAAAGACAAAACGCTTGCTACGATAAAGTCTCTCTGTAATATAGCATGATCGTAGTTTTAGAAGGATAATGATAGCTTTTTAGTTGCCTGCTTTGTTGCAATCAGTGTTGCCAGTATTCCAGATTTATCTGGATTTTCCAGATTTTTACTCGTCTTGCCAGATAGAAAGACAGACCGCGAATATTTCTAGATTTTTTAAATATGTTCCAGATTTTCCCAGATTTTTTAGACATATTGCTTTAAAAATATCACTGCAATTGATTTAAACTCTAATAATAAAATAAAACGCCAAACTTGCTACTTTAATTATTAAAGGCCATCAACGTTGGACATAATTTGAATTTTAAGATAATTCTGAAAATAGTTCACTGTTAAGTGTGAGGCGAATTCTTTGTAAAATCAAAGGAGAATTTCAAGCTACTGCTGAGTAGAATTACATCCATCTTTGTGGGCTTCGGGGTCGTGCGGCGTCACCCATCATTTAGGCGTATTGTGAGTGCCTCGAATTGAGGGTTCGATTCCCGCTCCAGCCAATGGCAACCTGAAAATTTCCTTACTGGTCTAATTGTCCGTTTTCTAGTGTTAAATATTCAGTCTGTGCAACCTCTGGTTGAAGACGATGTCAATTGTCTTGTCGGAAGAGAAATCATAGAAAATTCTTATGATGAAACTTAAGGAGTATGCTGATACGAATCGTGAGAATAATTTCAATGGAATTCTGCCCAATGATTCTATGGAGATTAATTTTAATAAAATTGTAAGCGCAATTTCTGAGAGACTTTCAAAACCATTTTGGCAAATTACTTGAGTACTTAGGTAATACTAAAAAGGATTTCAAAACAATTCTGACCTTACCTACAAAGCAGTTCAAAGGGAATTATCTGATAAGTCTGAGAAGAGTGGGATGGTCATTCTGAAGAGTGTGCCAAGGAAATTGTTAAGAATATTTTAAAAATTTCATAGAGAAACAAAATTAAGCCAATTCTTGCCAGTTTGAGGGAGTTGTGGGATTGGAGAGTGATGAATAAGAGATTACAAGAGGTAATGCTAAGAACTCTTAGAATTTTACTGGAAAAGTTTAGATATTTTCAAGATTATTTTAGGGGAATATAGAAAAGAAATAAAAGGCGAAGATATTCTGTGAAGAGTTTCAAGTAAATTCAGACTACCAAAAAATGATCTGGGACACAGGAAAAATATAAATTCCGGAATTTAGCATCATTGCAAGATCCTGAGACTTCAAAAATGAAACTATCAGACTTTCATTTTAGTAATAAAATAAAACTATTCTTTTGCATAATGGTCATGCGAATAGTGGAGTTACCCGTAGTTTAAGTAAACTGTGTGTGAGTTCCACGATATCAGGCTTTGATTCCCACTTCAGCCCGGTGAACTTTGCTTCAAAATAAAATTGCCTACTGGTCTGTTGGGTGTTGTGTGTTGTATGATGTCAAGAATTAAATTCTAAATCTGATTAACCTCAGAGTAATATTAGAATTATTTAGAACTAATAAAATCTTTAAATTCTGGTACTGCATCAAATAGTAAGGACTACATTGACTATTAGTTCAAAAATCCATCCCATCAAATTTCCTTGATTCTTTGCTTCTCATTCTTTTTTTAAAAAAGTTACAGTTTAAAGAAAAAAAAAACAATTCTAACCATATTTTCTGCTGTTTTTTACCCACATTTAACTCAATTTATGAAATGATGCGTAATAGATATTTGAACTTTTTGGGCACACCGTGTCAATACTTTACAACTTTTGGATGATTTAAGTAATGCTAACAAGTTATTTGTTTTATATAATTTAGTTAAACATGTAATTTATTACCATTCTAGCACTTTAAATTGATTCTACATGATTATACTGACCTAATTTTACGAGAGATTGGCACATCACTTTGATTTCAATAGTATTATGTTAAAAAGAGAAATTTGGAAGAATTCCAGATTTTTCCAGATTTTATATTTAACCTGGTCCAGATTTTTCTGAAAAATGACCTGGCAACGCTGGTTGCAATACACACAATTGAGGACATAGCTTGATCGGAATCGAAAAAAAAAATACATACAGCTATCCCCCGAAGAACGCGTTACCCACTGAGTTGCACCCACCGCTTTTTCTCGGTGGGGTTTCAACCAGTCGGTCTGATGTTTTGCATGTGAGTAGGGTCAATGGAGAACTAGTCACTAGCAGAAAATCAGAGCGCTTGGTTGAAAACCCACCGAGACAAAGCGGTGGGTGCAACTCAGTGGGTAACGCGTTCTTCGATAAATACTTTGAACGCGATAAAAACACACACGCGTCGGTTAGGGTTATTTTTTTCGGAGAATGGCTGTTTTAATGATGACAGACACTTGCACTGCTCGAGGGATTGGCAGCTACTATCTCCTTCTTCTCGCACAAATCCTTCACGAAGTTCACCCTCGTGTCGATATGCTTGAAGCATCCGTCTTCACAAACGCGAGGCAACCCTGGTTGACACGTTGAACCCTTCTGCTCCTCACCAAAGTCGCGCAGAAGTTGCCTCAACCATACGGTCTCTTGCCAGGCTTCGCTGAGCGCCATGTACTCCGCCTCCATAAACGAGAGAGAGACAGAAGTCTGGCGAAGGCTGGCCCATGAAAGTTCCCCTGCTGCAAACGAGAACACGGAACCGGATGTCGATTTTCGCCTACCGACATCTCCGGCCCAATCGGAATCTGCATACCCGATGACTACTTGATCTGAATCTCCTCCTAGTCCTAGACAGTAATCGCCCGTTACATTCAAGTATCGGAGCACTGAACTTGCGTCCGAGGATTGCAGTACTGGCTGCAATGTCTGATCGAGCGTTGACAGCAAAGTATAATAATCCCCCTACAAGACTCCGGTATTTTCAGTCCAGTTTTCAAGAACCCATACTCCATGGGTGACTTTAACATCTTGGCCTGCTCCATCCCATGCTTCACAATTAGCTTTTCGATGTAGTTTAGCAATCGAATTCTATAGACTCCATCTTTTCGCTGCTCATCTATTCCGAGGAATTGTCGAACCTCACCAAGGCATGTACCGTATGCGTGATAATGTTTGCACCATTGAGCAATGTCAATGTCTACCTTTAAAGGAGGGATGTTTCTCAAAGTCTTAAACTATGTGAATCATCGATTGAGTTTCCACTTGCTGCAATTACGGCCTCCACACGCTTCCAGAATGCACGGCAGGTTCCAGTAATGTAGTCTGGATCCATTTCTCTCCAGGTACGGGTCAATGTTTGTCTGAGGCTTGCTGTACTCGGGTGGCGTTTAGAACAGGCCTTGGTCTTCATGACGCGCCATATTGAGTAATCCAGCGGATTAAGATCGGGGCTGGATGGCGGGCACATATTCATCGCCCAGAACGGAAGATGTTCCTGCAACCACTTCTGAGTGCGGTTCGAGGTGTGGCACGGAGCCCCATCTTGTTGAAATACAACATTTGGCTTTGGACCGTACTGTTCTTTGATCCACAGAAGAACATACTTACTTAAAATCCCGATGTATACCTCCGTGTTGACTTTGTCGCCTTCTGGAATGAACACCGGGTCCATTTTTTTGCCATCGGAAGCCACCAAACTAAACACCTTGGTCAGATACACGTTCTTGTGCTCGTCGGCCACGTCTTTTACTGGAAGAGAACTAATATACCGGTCGGTTGTGGAATTTGATACGGGATCAACGGTAAACATGCTCTCGTCGGTGAACAGGATTACCGGATTTTTTCGCTTAATACCCTGGACAGACTATGGCTTATATCATGTAATATAAGCTGTCTTGCAATGAGCACTCATACATCTAGTTTTCACTGGAAATCCTATTTATGAGTGCTCATTGCAAGACAGCCTATATTACATGATATAAGCCATAGTCTGTCCAGGGTATAAGGAAGTTCAAGATTTTCTTGCATCGTTCGACTCGTAGCTCCCGTAGTTAATCATATGAGTTTTTTCCGTGCCCTTGACTTCGCCCCGCAATCTTCCTTTACGATCTTCCGTGCCGTAAAGTCACTGATCCCGTGTTCCTTTGCCATTTTCCTTATTGAACGCACTGGATTCACCCGAACCTTCCTTTTAATAGCAGCGATAACCCTCGGAACCCGAGCTGACCTCGGACGACCTGTGGCCACCTTCGCGGATAGTTGTCCTTTCTTTTCTCGGTCTAAAACCCTTTTGACGGTCCACCGGGACACTCCCACGGCGATTGAAATGTCTTTTTGCGACATTTGCGCGTGGGACAAATCACGAATACGCTGCCACTTCGTCATGGTGCAACTGTCAAACTAAGTAAATCATTTTCTTTTATACACAGCCTACTACCAACAATCAATACGAAACTAACGATTTTAAATTGGCTCACTACTTGACTAGCCTTTTGGTCCCAAGCAAATGATTAACGTACCCCATTCTAGTCGAAATTCTAGTACTACGCAATGTTTGTTTTGATTCGCTATGAAAGTTTGACAGATAAAATGAGGGGTTATTGGTTTTTCCTATGTTTCGAGGGGTGAATCGATTAGCTTGGGACCGAAGAGAGTACCAGAGCTGAGCCAAAAAGTTGAGCACGGTTTTTCGGGACCTTCTAGTCTTAGAGTTACCTCTATGCTACTACGGTATGAGCTATAAGTTACGTGCATGCAAAGAAAACCAAGGCATTGTATGCACAGGTGAAACGGGAACCTTATTTGTACGATGATGCAAATATTATCACGCATACGGTAAGTTCGAACTCTTCCTTCTGAGAATCAAATAGTCGTTTGACTTCTCGTTCGTCCGTTGATCCAATCAACAAGGCGTCAACATAAACAAGTAGAAACACTCGAGTTGTGCTTATAAATAGTCCACACATACAGACACGAATCAGCGCCTGCTGGTTTGAATCCTCGCTTCGATAAAGCTTCGTTCAGTCTTCGATGTCAGCAACGCCCTGACTGCCGCAAGCCATAAATACTTCGCTTCGGTCTGCAAACATACACCTTTTTTTTCCGGGTACTGCACATCCAGGGGGCTGGCGCATCAGAATCTTCTCGTCCAATGACCCGTAGAGATGTCGCACAACCATGTTCTACTGTGAAGCCACTGCAAAAAACGTTCGCATGGTGGCCTGACGTGTTACTGGTGCGAACACCTGGCCGTAGTCGATTCCATGCTGTTGCGTATACCCCTGTGCGGCAAGTCTGGCTTTGCATTACACGACTTCATCCTGCTCGTTGCGTTTGACCTTGAATACCCACTTTGACCCCACTATCTTTCGTCCTTAGGGTAGTGGAACAAGGTCCCATGTCCAATTGAGCCGAAGAGATGCAAGCTCATCCTCCATCGCCCTCCGCCATTTGGCTTCCCGAAAGTTCCAAGGTTCCTCTACCGTACATGCCACGATACCTACGGCGTAATCCAGCACAAAATCATCGAAACGCTTTGGTATTGTTTCACGGTTCTGCCGATTTAATCAGCGAGACGTAACAGGAACATCTTCATCTTCTTTATCTGCTTCGTAATATCAACAATCCATACGAAACTAACGATTTTAAATTGGCTCACCACTTTAGTAGCCTATTGGTCCCAAGCAAACGATTAACGTACCCCATTCTAGTTGACATTCTAGTACTACAGTATTTTTGTTTTGATTCGCTATGAAATTTTGATCGATAAAATGAGGGGTTCGTGGATTTCCCTATGTTTCGAGGGGTGCATCGATTAGCTTGAAACCGAATATAGTACCAGAGCTGAGCCAAAAAGTTGAGCACGTTTCTTTGGGACCTTCTGGTCTTAGAGTTACCTTTATAATAATATTCTTCACAGTTAGCTGACTCCACATCACTTTCGTTCTTCTTCTTCTTCTTCTTCTTCTTCTTCTCCTTGAAAGCTTGATTTCGTCCTCGACGTTCTTCTCGAGAACACTGGAATCCGGAACCGATGCAGGATACTCCACTGAACTCGTTCCGTTGCCGAGTTCGATAAACCTGGCGTCTCGGCTAACTATGATCTGGTCCGTCTTACAGTTTACAAAGCGGTAGCCTTTATGCTTCATAGAATAGCCTACGAATGTACGCTTTTGCACCTTGCTTTCCATTTTTCCTCGTTTCGTATCTGGAATGTGTACGAAAGCCTCGCAGCCAAACACTTTCAGGTGACCTATCTCTGGCTTACGGCCCCGCCACAGCTCAAATGGTGTTTGCTGGACGAATCTCGACGGTAATCGGTTCTGCAGATAGGTTGCAGTAAGCGTCGCCTTACCCCAGGATCAAGTAGCATACAGGTGGCCATCTCGGTGAGCGACCTGTTTTGACGCTCGGCAACGCCATTCTGTTGTGGTCAATAGGGGGTGGTGAATTGTGGTTTAATGCCTTCCACTCGATAGAAGATTCGCACCTCCTTGTTGTCAAATTCTCCACCATCAGAGCGGATGTCCTTCGGCTTCCGGCCGTGAGCTGCTTCCTATTTGTTCTTCAGGAGATACGTCACCGTAAACCGATTGAAGTCATTGATGATATTCATGACATATCGGTTCCCACTTGCCGTGGTGGTCTTCATCGGGCTACACAGGTCAGTGTGCACGATATTTAGTATTCCAGTCGATTTCCGCTCGGTAACGACAGGAATAGGAAAGTCGAACCGATTTCCCGTTCAAACAACACTCACATTTAAGCCACAAACCACAATCACTTACCTTCATACCTAGTGCAAGGTTCTCCTTCACGATGCGCTCTGCCGCTGGCCCAAGCGCCAATACCACTGGTGTTGGCAGTTCTCGATGTGTTGTCCGGTGGTTACCTTGAACGAAATCTCCACAAACCTCAATTGGTACAGGCCGCCGTAACGACGTTCCTGCACACTTGCTCTCAGTGTCAAGTTTGTGATTGGCCCTAAATTTATAAAGAGGCGACATGTCAAAATTAGAACAATCGATTGTCTGTCAAAGTCATAGGAAAAGTCATTCCAATCGAGCAGAAGACCTGTCAAATGGATAAGATGTCGTCTCTTTATAAATTCAGGCTCTTTAGTTGGCCCTAATACAAAAAATCAGCTCAATTGTTTGAAGGATTGCTGAAAAATGATGGTGGGTAGACGGCACCACCCATCGCGCAAATCGGGGATTCCTGTATTATTTTCTTACAGCAACTTACACCTAAAGCCTGGTACGCAGCTGAAAAGTAATGACGTTTTTACGTGCTACGGGATAGGACACGGAATGCTAAAGAAATTATTTTCCTTTAGCATTTCTTGACCCAGTACGCAGTTCAAAAGAAATCGGTAAAAGAAAGATCGATTACATTAGTATCGTGATCGACATGAAGGTGGCGCATTCTGAATGCAATTTCACTTTCCTTGCGGAATAATGGTCTGATCAATTATTCCGTTAGGTAATGTTGGCGTTTATTGCAAAACTGATGTTTTGGATGCATTTAAGCAACATAAACACTAATAAGTGTTGATTTTACAATTTGACCACATCTCCCTATAATCTCAAAATTTAGCAGACTATAACCAACAATCAATACGAAACTAACGATTTTAAATTGGCTCATCACTTTAGTAGCCTATTGGTCCCAAGCAAACGATTAACGTACCCTATTCTAGTTGAAATTCTATTACTACACTATGTTTGTTTTGATTCGCTATGAAAGTTTGACAGATAACATCAGGGGTGTGTGGATTCATGCAGAACATGCAGGGGTGAGTGAAATAGCTTGGGACTGCTTGGGACCGTTGTTCTGGTACTGAGTGAGCCAAAAATAATAATGATTTTCTTCGGGACCCAGTGGTCTTAGAGTTACCTCTATGCTATAACTGTCAAATTTTCTTTTGGGAAAAATCCTCAAAAATTACTTTTCCGTTTTCTTTTCAGCTGCGTACCAGGCTTAAAGCAAAAAATCAAGTACGGAAACAAACCTACTGTAACGTACAAGAGCAGTTCCACGACAAGTGACGAATTGATTTTATTTTTACCTTTCAGAATTCCATGAAATTGCACTAATTTGTTCGCCTGGCGGCAATAAACCAATTTTGTGTCAAAATTCTGCCATGTTGACTCTCGCCTTATTTTTAAAAATGGCGTAATTGCACGAAACGGCTCATCTAATCGAAATGACGTCTGAGACAAAGTTGTAGGAAACTGAGTGGTGCGAAGTCGATCACTTTCTATTTTCAAGTTAGCTTAAAAAATATTCATTTTCTTGCCTTTGTTTACATCCGCTCAACACCGCTCACAAATTGGCACCGTTAATGACTTTCTCATTATTTGATTACAATTTTACAATTGAATGAGACAATATTCTGTAAAGTTCGAAATAAGCTTTAAAATAGTTATCGAGTAAAAACCTGACCCATATCAAGTCAAATGATTGAATATGCTTACGCTGCGTTTTCGTGCTATGATTTATTGCAAAATATCGAATAAGCAATTTGGAAAAATTAGGCAAGATCCAAAATGGCCGAATTCCAGCATAAACTTGGTTCATGAACAGTTAAGCGAAGTTTCGTGGAATTTTGAGCGGTAAAATCTAAAATTTGTTTATTTTTCCAGAATGATTAGTTTCCAATAGACTCGTGAAGGTTCCGATTTTCTAGCCGCAGTTCAAATTCTCCCTTCCTCTCGCTTTTTCTTCCCCTTCCAGCCGCTTCGAGTACCGCGTGGAGCTGCTCCACCGTAATCCGCTGGCCAACATCAAGATGGAAGGCGTCAACGTGTTCAAGCTGAAGAAGATCTGGGGCTGGCCGCAGTACATCCACCACGACCGGCTACGGCAGGAGGGCTACCTCAACGAGGACGACACGCTGGAATTCCGGCTATCGATCTGTCCGCCCGACATTAAGCTTAAGTGCGAATACCAGCAGGAGTTCATTAGGAAGCTTAAGGAAACCCAAAAGTAGGTTAATAAGTTGCAAGAGTGAGAAAACGTGAACATGGTGAGTATGTGTGACGGCGACGCGGTGACAGGGATCAGCAGCAGCAGCAGCAGCAGACCAAGCAAGGGGTGGGTGCATATGGGGGAAGAAAAAGGTGGAAATTAAGCGTGCAAGGAGGCTGAGAACGAAAGGTATGACGCTAGGAAACACACACACAAACACACGCAACTGTGAGGATGGTGTACGGAGAGGAGGAAGCTTCACAATGGCCACGAATGAAAAAGAAAAGTTATTAAATATGTGCGGCCAATCTACTCTCTTATACGGAGGCAGAGGGATGCGTGGAGGCAGTTCAAAGGCAGTAAGGAAGTTTATATTTAGCACAGAAATGAAAGAAATTAATAAACGGTTTTGAAATGGACTGAGCGATGTGTCAACGCGCAGTAGGCGAAAAGGTGCGAGGCCCACCCGCCTCCTGCTTTGGAGGTCCCTGTTCTTTGTTGACGTATGTACAAGTGTGTTTTTACCTACCTTAATGTCATCCGTTCTTTTTCCCTTGCCTGCTGCGGTGGGCTGTATGGAAGAAATGAAGAATATTTTCTATTTATTTACACACACCTCATTTTGTGTTTTAATCTATCCGTTAAATTATTAAACTCTTACGCAAGTGGTATATCCACCTCTGCTCTAGGTAGGTCAGGATGAGAGATTTATAGCCGCATGTTTGCTTCTTCTGCTTAAATATTCTTCTTTTCACTGGATGTGAGTAACAAAGTTGTGCAAATTTCACAGATGACAGCGAAAACACCGATTAGATAGCGAAAACAGAATTGTATAGAGGAAAAACCCACCAACGGCAACAAGAAATTGGTGAAATTAGCGGAAGAAGACCGCCGGTTCAGCGAGTGTGTGCACGCGGAATTCGAGAGTGAGAAATCATTTTTATTTTAACAGATTATATGAAAATACATGTGAGCCACCAGAGAGATTGATATTTGCGAAACACTTGTTAATAGATAAGTCGTGGATTCATTCTATGAGAGATTATGATTTCTTTTTTTAATTGAATTTTCAATTTTAACTCAATTGACGAAGCAGATAGAAGCGATTCGTTGGTTTCAGGAAAGGTCACGACACAGGTTAAAGAATTAATTCGTAAACAAGAACAAACATTGACGAAACAGGATGATCAAATTCTTATGCTTCGGTGTAACGTTTTTGTTTGAGGATAGATAATTTTTATAATTTATTTTACTACTACTTATGATAAGGCTTAAACGAAATTGCTGGCACTGTGGTTGAAGAAAGAGTTCGTATACTGTCGTTTCTAGAACAAGGCGGTGAAAGAAGAAAAAAAAGTCAACGCAAATGATAAGCATATTAGCCTCAGAATTTTGAACTTTTATCGAAATCGACCGCCAGTGGAGAAACTTTTGAAGAACGAAAGAAATTCCTATATGAAATAAAGAGTGATTTTGAAATAAAGTGAGTTGAACACAGTTTATTTACTTATCACAAGCGCCATGTAATACCAAATAAGACCAGTGACCAGAAGTGACGCTCGAATAGACTAACATTGACCATTTCTGACGTTTACAATTCGCACAATTGCCTAATCCCATTTTCAAGTGAGAAGTTTGTTAGCCTCACCATAGAGGTACCTCTAAGACCAGAAGCTCCCGAAGAAACGCGAGGGGGGGCGGGGGGTGAGCTACCAGTTACGCTAATTCGATGATCTAAAGCATTGTTTACAAAAGCAGATACGTATCTTTGAAAAAATAATCGATAATTGTCACCAGTTTCAGTCTTTGCCAGAGTGGTAAGTGTATTTGTTTGTAATACTGAAATTATCTCAGCAATTCATACAAAATATGAACTGAAAAATGTTTTCCATTTCAATAACTTTTCTCATACTTGAAAACATTTTTCGAGTAGTATCTCTTACTATTTTTTAGTATTTACCAAATAACAAATGGCCTGGTATCGTCAGACGGGAAAGTAAATTCCTCTGAAATTCACCAATTTTCGCTAAAGTCCTTTGAAGTTCGCTAAAATGCTCTGAGATTCATTAATGTATTTTAAGGTTATTGAAATATTCAGAACTTCCCAGGAGGTTGCTGAACTTTTCTGCAGTTCACTGTATTTCTCAGAAATTGACTGAACTTCTCTAAAGTTCGCAACATTTTCCAGAAGTTTGCTCAACAACTCAACAACAGCCTCTGAAGTTTGTTGAATTTCCCTGAGAATCACAGCTTCACTGACGAATACTAAACTTATCTAAAATCCTCTAAATTTTCCTGAAGCTTTACTGGTTTTTAATGATATGTTTTCTCAAAACTCAGAGAAGATCAGCAACATTCACGAAAGGAGAAGATCGGAAATTAGCGTACATAAGAAGTATTCCAGTGAACATCCTGAGAACTTTAAAGGGAATGTTCAGTAAAACCAGCAAACTTCAGGAACATTCTGAGAACTTTAGAGAAAATCCGAAAGCTTCAAGAATATTCGGATAACTTCAGAAAATATCAGGAATCTTCAGAGAAGACCAGAAAACTTCAAGAAAATTCTGAGAACCTCAGAGAAGACTAGCAAAATTCAGGAATATTCTAATAACTTCAGAGAACATCAGCGAACTTAAGGAATATTGTAAGAACATTAGAGCAAATTTCACGAAAATTCAAAGGATTTCAGAGAAGATCAACAAACTTCAAGAAAGTTCTGAGACCTTCAAATAAAATCATTGAACTTCAGAAATTTTCTCAGAACTTTAGAGAAGACCAATAATCTTCAGAGAAAATCAGCGAACTTAAGGAAAATTCTGAGAAATTGTTAAGATGATCAGAAAACATCCGAAATATTCCTAAAACTTTAGAAAAGATCAACAAATTTATGAAAACTATCCAAGAACTTCAGATAAAATCCGCAAACTTCAGTAAAATTCTGAGAGCTTTAAAAAAATCGGAATGTTTCAGGAATATGCTGATAATGTGCGAACTTCAGAGAAAATCAGCAAATCTCAGGGAAATTTTCTGAGACTTTCGGAATCAGAAAAAACATCAAAAAACTTCAGGAAAATCGTGAGGACTTTGAAGATGATCTTTTATGAATAAAGGGTGTCCCACATCAAATTGCATCACGTAAAAAACGCTGTAGAAAATTACCTAGTTGACCGATCTTTTTCAAACTTTCAGACAATAAAATATAACCCATTAGTAAGCTTTTGCCATATTCATTTCATTCAACTTCAATGGCATAACCGTACGCTCGCACCTTACGTTTAACTCCACTCATTAGATTCTATACAACATCTGGCTGCAGCTTCTTCTGTACGGAAACACACTTTTTCTTCATGTCTTCCTCAGATTTGACCTCCTTGGGATGCTTCCGTAGTACCTGCTTCATAACAAGTATTTTTCGATGGGCCTTAGTTCCGGTGCGTTGGGAAGGGGTTCATGTTCTTGGGTACGGAAGTGACCCCGTTGGCTTCATACCACTTCAGCACAACATTTGAATAGTGGCACGAAGCTAGATCCGGCCAGAAGATCGTAGGACTCTTGTGTTGCTTCAACAAAGGAACCAGACGCTCCTGTAGACACTCCTTGAGGTAGATCTCCCCGTTTACAGTCCCGGTAGTCACGAACGGCGCACCCCGTTTGCCACATGAGCAGATCGCTTGCCAAATCATGTATTTTGGCAAAGTTTGAAAAGTTCTGCTTTTGTATCTTGGCAAAGTTTCAAAAGTTCTGCTTTTGTTTCTCCGGAACATCAAACTTGTGCTGGGCGGTGAAGAACAGTAGCCCCGGAAGCTGCCGGAAGTCCGCGTTGACGTAAGTCTCATCATCCATGATGAGACAATGAGGCTTCGTCAGCATCTGGGTGTACAGTTTTCGGGTCCGTGACTTTCCCACCGTATTTTGCCGTTCGTCACGATTTGAAGCCATCTGTACTTTGTATGCATGCAGTCCCTCCCAATCCTTGGCTCTCTGAACGAAAAACTTGGCCAGATTAAACTTTTTGGCCACATCCCTGACCGAAGCATTGGGATTCCGCCTAAACGCTTTCACGACACGCTTGTGATCAAGATCACTAATAGAACATCCATTCTGACTGCATTTCTCCTTCCGTTCGATGCTTAGAGTTTTGTAGTAACGTTTAATCACACGACTCACCGTTGACTGCACGATTCCGAGTTGTTTTCCGATGACCCGATGAAAGAGTTGAGGATTTTCCAGGCGCTTGCTCAAAATCAATTCGCGACCAGGGGGTAAGTCACTCTGCCACATTGTGCTAACACGGCTAACACCTACAGAAACACACTTCAACACACTTCAAGCACCCTTCCGCCACATGACAAGCAATTTTTAATCAATTCTGGCACCACTGCAAATAATGTTTACATTCGATTGTTATTTAGTTGTTTTGAAAAAAAAAACAAAAAAAAACCGTCGTATCGTCCTGCCTTGAAAGAAAAACATTCTTGATCTGGATTAAAAACGTCCAATCCAAAGAACAGGAAATACCGGTTGGGATCCACGAAACCTGTGGCATCAGGATGCTAAGAAAGGTAAGGATGTCTTGCAAGAAAACCAAGACAAACGCAACGGAAAAGTTTCTGATTGTAAATCCTAGGTTCTCACCAGCGGCAGCCCAATCACGGCCCCTCCAATTAATTGCAAATGCACCCTTTGCTTGACCCTTCCTTTCTTCTCGGGTGGCACGTACCTACCCATTCGTCTTCCTCCTGTAGCTAGAGGACCAATGCCCGTGTCAAGAACTAATTTTCGGACAAGTTACTCTGAACGGTAGCCGCTGCTGATTAATATTCGATCTCTACAGTTGCGAAATGGTTATGCAACTCTACTACTGCTTCTGACGCAGCAAGTCAGAAGTATAGCTGGCGGTCCTTTCATTGTCTTACTCTGATATCCGGAGCTCCGGGCTACGGTCATTTTCAGGCCGGTGACAAGGCCTACACAGAAATTCAAAACAACCCAAAATTAAGTTCTTTTCACTCATCTCCCATGTTCCGTACAATAAGCCAAATTTGGGTAAACCGGCTCAAAGTAGTTTGCATTTAAGCACGGCAAAAAAAATTACCCATCGCTAAGTTATTTTCAATTTTTTCTACCCAAAATTAAGTTCAATTAACTCAAATTTGGGTATATCGCATATTACTCAATTTTGGCTTCTCGTACGGAACTAGACGGTTGAGTCGAATCTTTCGTTCTATTTTTGACAACAATAGCGAGAGAAAATGAAACGGGCTGAGGTCAAATAACTCAAATTTGAGTTTAAAAAACCCAAGCGGTGGGTAGTTTTGTTTTTCTGTGTATATACTAACAGCTATGTTTGACAGTAGGCAGCATGTCCGGGGCGCAAATCGTTTGTTTTGCTGTACTGGGCCCGCTGTCACCGTATACAATGTTGCCTACGAGCCTGCCACCGAACTGGTCATTTTAGATCCAATAATCCTCCCACCGGTTGTTCTTTTTCTTTAAACAAACAACAACAAAGGAATCACAGGGGGGTCTGTCATTTTCAGCGTTATGTTATGGTTGAGGATATGGTTGCCAGTAAATTTATTTTTTTTTCGGTTGAAGTTTTGACAACTCGATCAATACGATGAAGCACCCAAAAACACCTTCTGACACCCAAAAACACACATGAAACTAAGAGATGAACTAGCCTCTGGCTAAAAATCTCTAAAATAAAGAAAAAAAAAAAAAAAAAAAAAACAAATGAAACACAATAAGCACAAACACAAGGTGGCAGAGTGACTTACCCCCTGGGAAACTTCTAAGAACTTCAGAGAAGACCAACAAACTCTAGGAAAAATCTCAGAGCTATAAATGATCTAAATTTATCTGAATATTGCTGAACTTCTTTGAAGTTCTGTGAATTTATCTGAAATTGGCGGAACTTCTATGGACTACACTGAACTTTTCTGAACTTTTTGAAATTCACTGCTCTTTTCTGAGGTTCACTGATCTTTTCTAAACTTCACTGAACTTCTCTGATCTTTTTTTTTTTATGTTCACTGCTTTCTTTTCTGAAGTTCACTGACAGCACTGTAAACTTCGCTGAACTTTCTTGAAGATCTCTAAACATCTCTGAAGTTCGCTGAACTTCTCTGAGGTTTGTTGAATTTCTGTGAAGTTTGCTGAACCTTTTTGAACTTTTTCTGAAGTTAGTTGCGTTCTTGGAACTGTCCTAAAAAATTCGGAACTTCCCGGGAGTTCTCGGGGATGAAGATCCTGCAATCCCAACAAACAATATGTGCTGATTTAAGTCTGAATAAGCAGTTTTGTAGCTGAAAAAAGATATTTTTGCCTGAATAAGCTCTTATTCTGCTTTCAATGTTGGGTGGGTTTTCACTTAAATTCACGATTCTTTGAATTTATCTTCAATGCTCTGGACCGAAGTCAGTTTCCAGTAAGTTTTCTGAAATGCTAGAACCTTCCCTGCCGATTACAGAATTTCCCTGAAATTCTCAGAACCACTCTGAATTTCTCTGACCTTCTTCGGACTTCCCAGGGGGAACGACACTCATTTTAAAGCAATTTATTTAAAAAAAGACTTGACAGCCCTGCTATGGCATGCAAGCGGAATGGAATGAATAAATCGGAATAGACAGAAGGTTAAACAGGGATTGTTCCAAAAAAAATAGACAGGGATCTATAAAAAAGAAAGGGGATGTCTGGAATAGAATGAAAAATTCTGAATTTGGTTTTCGTTGATGTGAATGAGAAAAGGATTAGAGGATAAAATGAATGTGGGATGAGGATGGATGAGGATGTGTCGTTCTCCCTGGGACTTCCATGAAGTTCTCACTGTTTTCCCTTGTGTTTTGAAACTTTCAATTACTTCCCACAATTTCCCTGAAGTTCTTTGGACTTTCCTGTTGTCCACTAAACTACCTTGAAGTTCTTAAAACTGAACCCTGAAACAAGTTTATGCAATTTTTCTCAAGTTCTCTGAGCTTCCGGAATTTTCCTGTAGTTCTCTAAACATCCTTGAAATTCTTGAAATTGCCTTGAAGATGGAACTTCCATAAAGTTCCATAAAGTTCTCGCAATTGGGTTCTTTAAGGGTATTGAGGTAAATGCATATTCGTAATCTGCATTAGAAGTGGAACCCAAACCCAAAGTTTCATCAATTTTGGTACACTGGAACTATTTTAAATAAGAATGATTACATTTGCAAAAATCAACTTATTAGCGCCCCTCGGTGTCACTTTGTATGGGAGCGAGCTGTCAGTTTGTCAGTTTAGTGTCAAACAGTGAAGTTATTATTTTGCTTTAAATATTGATTTAAAAATCGGGATGAAAGTGTGTGGGTTCGAAAAAAAATATTACTGTGCTCAGAAAACGGAGCTCTTTCAGATGATATATAAAAACTGATATATTTTTCAAAATTAAAGAACCCAATTGGGTTGTTAAACTTCGAAAAATATACCGATTTTTACACAACATCAGGTAGAACTTCGTTTTCTGAGCACAACGATATTTTTTATCGATCCCGTAAACATTCATCTCGATTTTTAAATCAAGATTAAAATTTTTGATCGTTGACACTAAATCTATTCGTTTACAGCTCGCTCCCATACAAAGTCCCACCAAGGGGCGCTAAGATGGTGATTTTTGCTAATGTAATCGTACTTATTTAAAATAGTTGCAGTGTACCAAAATTGATGAAATTTGGGATTTCGGTTCCATTTTTTATGCAGATACCGAATATGTATTTACCTTGATACCCCTAAACAACCAAATTTACCTGATGTTCTCAAATTCATCATATCGAAACGTCTCAAAAGGTCCCTGAACTTTTCTGAAGTTCTTTTAACTTTTCTGAAAATATCGGGAGGTCCTTGTAGTCTACGGAATTTCCCACCAATATCATCGTTTACGTTCGTACCGTATTTTCTTTACCAAAAGCTTATGGGCGCCCCTGAAATATACAGAACCTACTTAAGTTTGCTAAACTAGTCAGTTCCTTCCCGAAGCTCCCTCCCTCTCTGAATTTCCTTCAAATTCTCTTAATTTCCCTAAAAATCTCAGAACTTTCCGGAAGTTCCTGCTATTTACCTGAAGTTTTCGGAACTTCCCCGAAATTCTCAGAACCACTCTGAAGTCCTTGGAACTTCATTGGAACTAGTCATTGAAAATCCCATAATTTTCCGGTAACTCCCCCAATTTGATTTTAATTCTGTTCATTTTGTAGATCGAATATGGAATTTACGCGACAGGTGAATCCCACATCTCCAAGCGCGGTGTTAAATAGTGGACGAAAGCTTCATGGCGCCTGCCTTGAGCTCCTTGCGGAACAGACATACCATCACCATGTCCTTGACTTTGTGAATGATCCGGGCGTCGATAGGATTCACCTTCTTTCTGTTTGGCTGCCTATTGTGTTGTTTAACTTCGAAAAATATACCGATTTTTATACAACATCTGATAGATCATCGTTTTCTGAGCACAACGATATTTTTATCGATCCCGTAGACGGTCATCGGATTTCAGTCGAACCAACGGAAAGCACAATACAAGGAGGCGGGGGGTTTGTAAAAATTACATTTTTCGCGTCTCTCTTTAATAAAGAATTAAAAAAAAAAAAAACATTTTTCGCGTCACGATAGGCATTACGTAGCATTTGAACGGCCACTTTTATACAACTTTCTTCCTTGCCCCCACTCTTACCCGAACGCTACTGTTCGGCGTCCCATAATCGAGCGCCTCTACTGTGCACACAGCTCTCTGATGATACGTCAAAAACGCCTGTCCAAAATCCATCAAAAGCATCAAAACAACTCGCCAGGACCATCCAGAAAACAGCGAAACAGGTATCCGAGGACCGAATTTCGCAAAAATTCCCCCCCAAATGGACGTGGACGAAGCTGTGCAATCCATTTGCGACTCGACGGTAAGTGTTTGCTCGTGTTTCCAGTCATGGCCGATGGATGCCCCGCTCCAAGCGGCCACTAAAAGCAATTCTTCCAAGCGGCCTTCGAAGCTGTTTGTTTTGATCTGTACCCACACTTGCTTACTTACGATGGGTTTCGGTTTCAGGCTTCGCTTACGGAAGGATGCCGCCTGCCAGTGCGAATGACCGGTACCAATGATTGGCCGCTGGCGGAGATCATCAGTATCAAGGAAGCGTCGGATAAATCGGTGTGGTACTATGTGCACTATGTGGATTGTGAGTATTGGAGTTTGCTATGAGTTGTTGCTTGATAAGGAATGTTTCTTGCATTTTTTTTTTCGGTAAACAGTCAACAAACGGCTCGATGAATGGGTATCGGAAGAGTATTTGGACACAAGGAAGGTTCAGTTTCCTCGGAAGGATGGTTTGGCAACTGGTCAGAATACAGGAGTGACGACACCGAAGCGAATACCAATCGGTGAGCGATCTCGTCCTGCCAGCCCTGTCCTGCCTCCGGATATTCTGAACGGAGGAGCTGTCCTGGCGGCCGCGCTGCAGAAGAAGATCAACCGAAAACGAAAAGCCACCTCCACAGAGAATGAAGACTCCCAGGAAGTTCCAACGACGCCAACGCCGCGGCAATCGGGCAGTATGGTGATCCATCATGACGACGTCGTGACGCGCATGAAGAACGTTCAACTGATCGAACTCGGTCAGCATCGGATCAAACCGTGGTACTTTGCTCCGTATCCCCAGGAAATGTGTTCCATGTCGTGCATCTACATCTGCGAGTTTTGTCTCAAGTACCGAAAGAGTCGGAAGTGTCTCGAACGGCACATAAAGAAGTGCAATCTGCGGCATCCGCCGGGGAACGAAATCTACCGAAAGCAAACGATAAGCTTCTTCGAGATCGATGGCAGAAAGAACAAAAGCTACGCGCAGAATCTGTGCTTGCTGGCGAAGTTGTTTCTGGACCACAAGACACTGTACTACGACACGGATCCGTTCCTGTTCTACGTGATGACGGAGTTCGACTCGAGGGGATTCCATTTGGTGGGGTACTTTTCCAAGGAGAAGGAAAGCACCGAGGACTACAATGTGGCGTGTATATTGACGATGCCGCCGTACCAGAGGAAGGGCTACGGCAAAATGCTCATAGAATTTAGTAAGTGGCGGCTTGGGTTTGGTGTTTTACACGGATGATCGGAGTAATTTTGAATTTCGGTTCGACTCGTAGGTTACGAACTGTCCAAGTTTGAGGGCAAGACTGGTTCCCCGGAGAAACCTCTGTCGGATTTGGGACTGCTGTCCTATCGGAGTTACTGGGCTCAGACGATACTGGAAATCCTGATTCTGGCCAAGCCAATCGGGGAAAACGAGAAACCGCAGATTACCATCAAGTGAGTAGAAATTAACGATGTTGGGGAGCTTTCTTGGAGACACTATGTTCAAAGAGCCTGCTAAAGGGACATTTACTTTTATATGACCTACGTTTTTTGCAAATTTGAGTGAACGTGACTCAATTATGAGTCAGATTCATTTGCCGTGATCATACGCTAAATTCAACTTCTGGCTTTGCTAGACCATTCTTTAGGCTTCTAAATTTTAAGAGTTTATGTAAACTTGGTGACTTATGCTGGGAAGAAAGCAAAAGACTTCAGTGCCACAGAGGTGAAGCATGTGCGTTCGTCAAGGCCAGTAACTTGATGCTCGCACAGAAAGATGGGGACGATCGTGACGGAAAACTTGAAGTGGACTTTGGTGAGGGGATGAAACCCAAGCTTCGGATTACTTTGGAAGATGGTAGGGTTGAAGTGAGGTTTTACGACCTCTCTGAAGGTGTACCCGAAGAGTCTTCGGAGGAATGGAGCAAAGTAAAATAGCGTCTAGTCCGTTAGAGCGACGACGAAGGAAGAACGAATTTTATTCAAATAACTCATGGCTAACTTAGGCCTATATTATTTCTACACTGCAGCTCTTCACGTTGCTAAATGCACCGCTTCAATTCTCCTCCTCAACGTCGATGAACTTCAGACCGATCATGGTACGGAAATTCTCCAACTTAACTCTCGCCAAAGCCTTCGTGAGTATGTATGCGACCATTGATTCCGTTGGACAGTACCTGACTTCCATCACGCCAGTCGACATCAGTTCTCGCACAAAGTTGAACCGTGTATGAATGACAGCATGGCGATGCAGCTCTGGTTGTCCTCGTGCATCACCACTGGCCCATCGACGACCTCGCCTATGTCCTCCATTAGCTTCAACAGCCAGCCCAGACAACCAGAATGCACGTATATTCAAAGTTGTTTTCACGATATACAAACATATATACAAACCAACAAATCTTATAGAATGCAAAGAAATGGCTTATACGTACAAAAGTGGATGCCATATACGTGCAAATTTTAATTTAATTTTAAACGAGTAGATTTAACATCATAAGCGATTTAATCTGTAATAACAAATTCCCTTTGAAAAGTCTTTCGATGTAATCCGATTTGATTTGTGATGCAGTACGACGGAAAAATGAATCATCGCATATAGGTCGGAAATTTGTATTCTATACGATTTAACTTAAACATAATGCGATGCATGCCATTCTTATATGCGATTTTGACTTAAACTGTAGCAATTTACGACAGTGTCTGCACATTGTTATACGACTTCTGGTTGTCTGGGAGAGTAGCTCCTGACTAGACTCGGATAGCGCAACGTACTCAGCTTCTGTAGACGACAGGCTGACACATTGCTGTTTCCTAGTGACCCAGCTGATTGTACCACCGTTTTGTCACCAGCCCAGTCTGCATCCATAAATCCGTCGAGACCGCCGGTTCCGCCAAGCTCAAGCTTCAAGTCAGCTGTTGCGTTGAGGTACCGTAAAGTCCTCTTCGCCTCGGGTCAATCCACTTCGGTTGGTTGGCTCACCTTTCGTCCCAGAATAGACGCAGCAATCGCAATATCGGGTCACCGCAACGTACAGCAAAGCACCGACCAGACTCTGGTAACGCTCGCCGGATGGCATACACTCCTCCTCCTTTTGCTTCACGTTTGGATACCTAGGATCCATGGGTATTTTCGATGGCTTCGCTGGGCCCATAACCTCTTGGGAGGAATGGAGCAATTTTATTCAAATAACTCATGGCTAACATAAACCTATATTATTTCTAAATGCACCGCTTCAAAGAAAAGGTCGTCCATTTCCTGGTGAAGTGATCTCGATTCGCGAGATATCGTGGGGAGAGAGCAGCGAATGTGCAGGAATACCGCTCGGCATATGGTCTGCTCGTATAATAGTCGAGCGGAACATTGACTCGTGGGTCAACATCGACGGAGAGCAAGCGTTTGTTGTCTACAAGGGATAGTTGCAATCCTGCTGCCACTGCAAAGAGCAAGTGCACACTGTGTCCAGAACAAAAAGCTTGTATTCCAGAAAAGCTACGCGAACGCGACGAAGCAAACTGGACCGGCCAATAGGTCAACCACCGGTCAGCGACCTAAGAAACCATCAAACACGACACCAATCGGTCAAAAATACCACTCCGCCACCGATATCGTCGGACTCTTTTCCCGAACTGCTGAAGCTTACGCGCCAGGATGATTCCTCAGGCCCGTAAATTCAACAAGCGCAAAGCTCGTAAAGTCCTTCGCAACACCACCGCAAGCTGTCGTGTGTTTGGAAGACGTATTCAAAAAAGCTCGAAAATGCGTTGCGATCCCAGAGCAAGAGTGGCAACGGAAACGAAACAGATGAATCCTCCGCTTCCACGATCAGCAGACGAAGCCGAGGTTGACCCGCTGGTGAAAAACCCTACCGGGATGACGATTGACGACGACGAGAGGGATGAGGAATACCGCCCATAAATGACTCTCGCGTCGTACAACATCTCGTCCATCAACATCGGCACCATCACAAACCCCACGAAACTGAACGCGTTCCGAACCTTCATCAACAGCCATAGCCTCGATATCGTGTGTCTGCAAGAAGTAGAAAACGAACAGCTGTCCTTGCCTGGCTACGTCGTTTTCTTCAATGTAGACCACACGAGAAGGGGGACAGCTATTGCTCTGAAGGAACCCATCCAGGCCACTCACATTGAGAGAAGCTTGGACGGCCGACTGCTTGCGCTGAGAATGGAAGACACGACGATCTGCAACGTTTACGCTCCCTCCGGTTCTTTTCTACGCGCAGCCCGAGAGAATTTCTTCAATGGGACGCTTGCCTGCTATCTCCGCCATCGTCCCACGCATGTCATTCTGGTTGGCGATTTCAATTACGTGCTACGGACATGCGATTCGAGTCCTGCCTTGCAGCTTTACGACGTATGGGAGAAACTGTGTCCACGTGATCCTGGTTTCACGTACGTCTGGCGCAACGCACAGTAGCGACTCGATCGAATTTACGACAGCAGTGGATTGCGCGATCACTTGCGAGCAGCACATGCCCACATCTGCTCATTTACCGACCATGAAGCGCTGACACTCCGATTTTGCCTCCCCCATGTTGGTCAAGAGCATGACCGTGACTTTTGGTCCCTTCGGCCATATCTTCTGACTGACGCAAACGTTGCAGAGTTCCAATACCAGTGGCAATATTGGACTCGGCAGCGCAGAAACTATGGCTCCTGGATCGAATGGTGGATTTTGTTCGCTAAGCCCAAGATCAAAAGCCATGACTAAAGAGATGAACTAGCCTCAGGCTAAAAATCTCTAAAATAAAAAAAAAAAAAAAAAAAAAAACCAAGATCAAAAGGTTTTTCAAGAGGAAATCTCGAGCCGTCTTCGATGAATTCCACAGTGAGCATCAGCTTCTCTACAGCGGCTAGTCTACGACGGGTACTACCAGCACCCTGAAATGATAACCACCATCAACCGGCTGAACGGTGGAATGCTAGCGCTTCAACGGAGATTTTCTTACACGTTCATGCCAATGAATGAAACGCACGTGACGGGAGAACCCATGTCAATATTCCAGTTGGGGGAAAGGGGAAGGAAGAGAACGGTCATAACGCAGCTGCAGACAGAGTAAGGCGAACGATCGAGCCGCACATGATGAACTATTTCTCGACACTGTACTCGGAGGAGGCAATAGAAGAGAATGATAACAGTTTCGTCTGCGAGAGTGTTATCCCACCCATCGAATGAAGTCTGCGGACGACATCATGACGGCAGAAATATGGTCTGCAATAACAGCGAGCCCACCATGGAAGTTCGGGGATTCGGGGACCACCGATCACCATCCAGGACCATCCAATTCCGCTTAAGAAAACAGTCCGCGTTCTGGGGGTAGTTCTGGATCGGACTCTAAGTTTCGACCAACACTTCAGAACGGTGAAAGAAAACTGCCGTAGCCGCATCAACATCGTCAGGACAATCTCCCGTCCGCACCGCTCCAGTAACCGCGAGATCCGCCTTCGTGTCGCCCGGGCTGTTATCGACAGTCGACTTTTCTACGGCCTCGAAATTACCTGCTTAGCCACCGAGAAGCTGAACCGCATCCTCGCTCCGGTATACAATACCTACGTACGCATCGTATCCGGCCTCCTACCTTCCACGCCCGCAGACGCCGCTTGTGCAGAAACCGGAGTCCTCCCTTTCCGCTATCGATCTGCTGCAGCCTCTGCCACCAAAGCCGCTGCCCTCGCTGCTAAGACATCCGGGAACGATAGGGTCTTTCTCCTCAACGAGGGGAACAGAGCCCTCCGCACTGCAGCCAACGTAGACCTCCCCCCGGTGGCCAGGGTCCACTGGCATGGAGAGAAAAGTTGGCGATCAAACGTTATCAAAATAGATAAGCGGATTAAGAGAGGATTCAAAGCCGGAGATAACTCTGTAGCGTTGAGGCGCTCTGTTGCAGAACTTCTTAGGTCGGTTTATCCGGGGCACGTTCATCGCTTTACGGACGGATCGCGATCACGGGCCGGAGTGGGACTCGGAGTGGCAGGACCAAACACCGCAACAAGTCAAAGTCTTCCGGAGGAGTGTTCCGTTTTTTCCGCAGAAGCCGCAACTGTTCTTGACGCAGCCATCACTCCTGCAGATCAACCGATCCTTGTGCTAACGGACTCACACAGCGTCATCCAGGCGCTGGAAGCCGAAGCCCCGAGCCACCCCTGGATACAAGCCATTACACGTTTTGCCCCACCCTCAACCGTTTTTACGTGGATTCCCGGGCACTGCGGTGTTCCTGGAAACGAGGCAGCGGACAGGCTGGCGGGATCTGGTCCATCCGGACCCCGCTTCACCAGGAACGTACCACTCCTAGACGTCAGGCGTTGGATTGCGACTATCATCATGGAAGCCTGGCAGGAGGAATGGTTTCAGTCACGCACCACCCTCCTGAGAAAGATCAAAGAAACCGTACGACCTTGGCAAGACAGCCACAAGTACAAAGACCAGC